AAGTAACAATGCTCACACACTTTAGTTTTATATAGTATATTGATGATCTTGATTACTTCATTTTGAAACAGGGCAGATATGATGAGGCAGAGCTGGAGGGTAAGCTGCTAGGTGGTCAAATCACGGATTTTGTCAGGCTTGATAAAAGTGCAAAGAGAAGTACCCTGCCTTTTTGAGGCACTTATAATTTTCCCCTCACCCCCAGATTTACAGTTTAATGGCTTGTTGCCTTTTGTTGAGAAGTACAAGTTCTTGTGGCAGACATCCATCTTCTGAATCAAATCAGACTTCATGCACTTGAAGGCACTGAGAAGGAAGCACTGCAAGCAGAAATTAAGTTGTTGGAGATGAGGTTGGCAGAGACTGATGCACAGGAAAAGATACGTGTGTGGAATCCATGGAGAACCAGTTAGAGATGAGTTGCAAGGGAATTGCAGAAGGAATCGGAATGACATAATTCATTCCCTTGCTGAGGAGCTCTGTTAGTTCATTAAAAGTAGAAAATGACTACTTAAGTAATGTCATTGAATTATTGAGAGAAGAGCTCATGGTAACATCCCAATTTTAATTTTGGGATTGAAGCAATATTGGGTGGGAGATTAATCATGGCAATTGAGAATCCATGTCATTATTTGAGCAAGGAAAATTTACTTAAAAATGAAATTAAGTCTCTTAAGATAAATTAATACATTATGTGGGATTAAGTTGAAGTATTTATAGTAATTTTCAAAATAACATGCTATAATTATTTAAACATTATGAAAATTCTAAGAGTAAAATAAATACATAAATTTGGCCCAAATTTGAATTTTAGGAGAATGATGAAAAAAAATTATAAAAAATAATAATAAATAAAGTACCAAAAAAAAAGAGTTACTGTTCCAGTCAGTCGCGTGTCTCTGGTTTAGAAGAGATTTTATACTATATAAAAACAGATGATAATTGTTTTTGCGAAAGTTCTTGCCTTTGCCTCCCCCAGAAATATTTTACTTATATTCCATCTAATAAAAAGGCTCTTAATTATATAAAATGATACCACGTCTTTTATAGTTCTATACCATGTTCCTTAAACTTCCCATACCATGTTCCTTAAGCCACTACTTAAAGGGAAAAAAAAGGTTACTTTTATCTGTTTTAGAGGCCCTTTTTCATCTGTATAAAGGGAAACGTAGACAAAAGAAACATACATAGAAGTTAGATATGTGTCTTGTTATAAAATATGTGCTCACATATTCGTCTGTTCAAGAACCCATACTCATCTGGTCACCTAACCAGATGACTATCTGGTCCACATACTCGTTTGGTCCAGAGTATATGGGCCCATACTTGCTTGTTATGGCCCAACAGACGAGTATGGGACCTTATACTTCTCTGTTTGGCATAACGAAACGAATATATCGTCCTTTTTTTCTTTCTCAATTTTCAATTTCAGACAAAAATAAAAGGAAAAAAAAATAGACTTTTTTGTAGTATTGACCCCAATTGTTTCGTTTCTACCTGCTTTTCATATATACAGATTCAGTTTAGTTGCTGCTATATAAGTTTTTTGGGCTTTATTGGTCACTTAACATCCTAAGAGGAAATGCAAGGCTTGCATGACGCACAGATTAAAGTTTCTTGCTTTGTCATTTTTCATCCAAATCAAATGGAGTGATAGGTTCTGATGATGCGCAGCACAAGAGAGTGAACTATTTGAACTGGTGCTCTGTGGTGCTGCTGCTGGATCTCAGCATTGCACTTTAACTTTTGTTGTTGCTTTGTGTTATATGCTTAAACTGGCGAATCACATCACCATAGGCTTGGTATGTAACATGAAGGTCTTCCTATATTTATTAAATCCTAGTATTATTGCAACTTGTTTTATATGGATATGATCTATCATTGTATTTTCAATTACACACAGAGTCTTTAGGTCTGTTGATATTGATGCCCTTTATATTCGTCGTGGAAATGAATCCACATTTTGGTTGCCCTTTATATCAGTTGTCTATAATATATATAGAAATTCAGTATCAGATGTTTCAAACTTTGGGTTTACTGTCTCTAAATGTGAAAACATGGAAATGGTTGTAACTGGAATAGCCTACAGGGCAATATTAGGAGGCCACGGCCTTTAATTTTGCGAGAAATATTAACAGCTGTTATTGTGAATAATAGACGTTATGATCTTTCTCACTAAAGTATAAAATATTTAATACTAGATGTAGGTCCTGCATGCACATTAACCCAAAAAAAAAAAAAAAAACTGGCTAGCAATATATCATGGTGCTATTATTTAGTAAAATGTGATGCCAAAAATAATTATAGTAAAACATATTTCACCATATTATATAAGGTTTTCACAATTATTTTGATTTTCAACCATTAAAATTTCAAACGTACGTCTATTTGATATTTTTAGAAACATAAATTACATCATTTCTTATTGGGTCAAATGAAATTTCATTGACATTTTTAGAAACATAAAAAAGAGGTACCTCCTACTTTCTTATCCCGTTGGTTTTATGTGTGAAAACCGAGTAGTTTATGAACAAATTCTCTTCACCTACCTTCTACCTTTGCCGCCCCTAAAATTTTCACTGTGCCTCTCCCTAAAATATTTCGTGTTTTTTGATGGAGTAATTATTAGGCATTCTTATTGCACCATCTTTCTTTATGCCTGCCGTTTTCCTACCGCCAGCCCTTCTTGTCTCTTTCCTCTTTCAACTTTCATGGAAATTTCTATGATTATTTCTAATCATTTTCTTACATTTTTATTTAAATTTTAAAAATCGTACATGATAAAAATTAAAAAATCTTCAACCTAATACCAAAAGTCTTCCAAGTCCACTCACAACAGACAAGCTTACTGACAAGTGACGGCGGAGTAAAAAGCAAAACACATTCAGAGATTGCGTTCTATGCATTTTAAAAATATTTCTTATCCCGTTTTTGCAACAGGAATCTTCTAGGATATTTGTTTTCATCCTTTTTCATAAGAGATCTTTTAATTAAATTATCCATGGTATTAATTTTTCCTTACAAAAACGCCCTTATTAATTACTCACAAAATATCCATCGTTAGTTAGGCATAAAGAAACTAGCCAACCATTTCAAGGGAAATTTTGGAAAAACAATACAAATTAACTAAACTTTTTAATTTTTGCTGTGACGTAGGCTAATTTAAAAGGATCCTACATATAAGATTTAAAAGGAGTATGTAATTATCAGATATTCCATATAATATAAAGGCTCTGTGCTGTCAAAATAATAATAATAATAATAATAATAATAATAATAATAATGAAGGCTCTGAAAAATCATATAAAATGAGCCTACATGTTTTATAGTTTTATGCCTCCTACCATCTTCCTTAATGCCTCCTGTTTTCTTAATATCGTCGTTCTTGTCTTTTTCGTCTTTTTATCATTCGTGGAAATTTCTATCATTATTTCTCATCATTTTCTTTCCTTTTATCTTTAAATCTTAAAATTGTACGCGAATAATTAAAAAAAATCTTCCACCTAATAGTCTTCCAAGTCCGCTCACAGCCAAGCTTGTTGACCACGGAGTGAAACTAAAAAGCAGAACACAAAGAATGCGTTCTTTTAGTTTTTGGAAATTAATATTTCCTTCGGTCCTTTATCTAGGAATCTTTTGATTACTGCTTTTACAAGACCTCTTTCAAATTTCTACTGTTATAATTTTTCCTGAAAAGGAGCCCTTATTAAAAGAAAGTGCATTCTAAATATACAGGAGATGACAGTTTTTCTGTGTTACGCTTTTAAAATCTCAAGAAAACCAGGATGCATTGCAGTATATTTAATTATTATCATGAATAATCATAAAATTTAGCGAAAATATAAAATATTTTGACAGTGGGGACGAGGTTAGTGAAGGAATTAATAAGAGCTGAAGATGTTAATATGAAATGAAGAAATGGGGGTAATGGTTGCTATGAAAGAAAGAGCTAACAAACGTTGGTGTTCTCCGAAATTACAACATCTTGTTTTAAATATAGAAGCTAGATAATATATTTATTTTAGTTCTGAATATAATATTACAATTTATTTTGTCCCCTGAAATTATAAATTTTTACTCTTACTGAATACACATAGTAAGGAGTAGTTTTCATCAATAGGAAGGTACAATGGATATGATTAGAAATTATATTTTAGAAAAACCAACAAATTTGTTTTTTTATAAATAATTGAATTAATTAATTTTTTTGATATTTACAAATTAATTATCTATCTCTTATATTAAGAATTTAATGTACACTTGTATGCTGAACTAAGCCAAGATGCGTATGTGAATATAACGATGAGTCCTCTTCCAAGTACCATTTAGACCCCACCAATATACATTGATAGATGGACATCTTTGAATTTCTGTCTCCATACTTTTTTTTCCTTTCCAATGTCATCTTTCGTCTTTTTCCTCTTCGATCGTTCGTGGAAATTTCTCTCATAACATCGCCTCACTTTCCCTTTCATTTATTTACCTCCTTGAGTCCTTGACTCTTTCACGCGTATTAAGAAATTTCGAGACAATTGCTAGCCTCTTTTAAGATGTTTTAAATTTAAAAATTGCACTTTTTTCTTTGGAAAATTTTTACGATGATTGGGCAGATATATACGTTTAACCTAGATACCTATATATCACTATGCATCTCATATTCATCACATTTTATGTTTCCATACCTTTTTGTCGTAAAAATTAATGCACAAAACATTATTACTTGCATATTGATTATTCCTCTTCAATAATATCTTTATTTAATTTTACATGAAGCCACAGTAATGATGATCATTTCTTGTCACATTCTTATATCTTTTCCAATCTTAAAGTTTGTACATTATAAAAAGTATCCCCACCTAATAGGCTTCTAAGTTGAGAGTCAAGCCTGTTTTAAAGTCAACACAGACTCTATTTCATAGTCACCAGAACCTCAACCCTTCATTCTTTCCGGTGCTGGAGATATCTCTCTTCTTTCTTTACTCGTCGCTTAAGATTAGCTCATGGCACATCTAGCACTATCCTCTTCTATAACTTACAAATGGACTTTTAATGTGTTTCTTAGTTTTCACGGTGAAGATACTCGCTTAGGTTTCACCAGCCATCTCTATCGTTCTCTGCGTCAAAGTGGAATTCATGCCTTTCTCGATGATGAATTCATTAGGATTGGAGAAAATATCACACCCGCGCTTTTTGAAGCTATACAAAAATCAAGAATAGCCATCATAGTTTTCTCAGAAAACTATGCAAACTCAACATTTTGTTTGCAGGAACTTGAAAAGATTCTGGAGTGCTTCAAGGAAGAGAGTCGGTTGATATATCCAGTATTTTATTATGTGGACCCATCAGAACTGCGACGTCCCAGAGGAAGCTATGCAGAAGCATTGGCTCGACTGGAGAAAAGATTCAAAGACAACAAGCACAAGGTGGAAAAATGGAGGCTCGCTCTGTCTCAAGCCGCTGAACTCAAAGGCTGTCATCTCAAACCCAAGTATATCTCTTCACTCTTTTCATCATCATTATCATGAGAACAGTTAATTACAATTTCAATCTTACAACAACATGCACATAGTCTATGCTGGCCAGTTCGATTCCTTTTTTGTTGGGTTAACAATATGCTGATTTTTTCTTTGAAAGCTGAATGAAGAACATGCTTTTAGTTTTATTTTTCTACAAAAGAGAAACAATAACTCTGGGCATGCCATATTCCTCCCAATACTTAGGGTGGCCGAATTCCATTAATTAGGGAGAACACACTAAATTCACACTTACTGGTGTATAAAAATACTTACCGTTTATATAATAAACTTAATACTTCTTTGATAATTGGGACTGAATTTAAAATAATGCTACAACACTCTCATATTTCATCATCTACTGTGTGAGGATTGAAACTATATCTTACATCTTATTGGGAGGAATAGGGAATACAGCCAAGTCTTTGTACATAAAATCCACATATCTTAATGTTTAGTTTGACTAAAAGCGAACTTCTTACAAATTGGTCAGGATTGCAAATGAACAAGAGTGTATTACAAGGATCACGAAAGAAATTGCTGCTAAGATCGATTAACCAGCAGCGTTTACATATTGCAGATTATCAAGTTGGACTTGTGCCCCGAGCCAAGAAAGTTATCTCTTGTTTAGATCTTTCGTGTACTGAAGAAAAAAAAATGATAGGAATTTGGGGAGCTGGTGGAATAGGTAAATCCACCATTGCAAGAGCTGTATATAATTCCATTGCTGATAATTTTGACGGCTCATGTTTTCTTTTTAATGTAAGAAAACATTCTGAAAATCCAACTGGTTTGTCACATCTTCAAGAGACATTATTACGTACATTAGTTAAGGAGAAAGATCTCAGATTGGGTGACTATGATGAAGGAATACCAATCATAAAACATAGGCTTAGTAAGAGGAAGATTCTTTTGATTCTTGATGATGTTGACAAATCAGAGCAATTAAAAGCACTTGCTGGTAGTTCTAATTGGTTTGGTTGTGGAAGTAGAATCATCATCACAACCAGGGATAAGAAATTATTAGAAAGTCATGGTGTTACAAGCATTTATGATGTCAAGGAATTGGATGATAAGGAATCCCTTAAGTTGCTTAGTTGGCATGCCTTTGAAAAAGAAAACGTGGATTCCAACTACATGGAGGTTTGCAATCGTGCCATAAATTATTCATGTGGTTTTCCATTAGTTTTAGAAATGATTGGTTCTAACTTGCGTGGTGATGGAGTTAATATTTGGAATTCTGCATTGGATCAATTCGAAAACATTCCGCATGAAAGCGTTTTGGGTGCCTTCAAATTAAGCTATGATACTTTAGGGGAAGTGGAGAAACAAGTTTTCCTTGACTTGGCTTGTTTTTTCGATGGTGAGAAGTTAGCACTTGTCAATGATATGTGGCTATGTGGTCGTGGAATCTGATTAGAATATGCTATTAAAGTGTTGATTGATAAATCCCTAATAAAGATTGAACAAGATTGTGTAACAATGTACGACTTGATAGAAGATACAGGGAAAGAGATCGATCGACAAGAATCACCATATGAGCCTGGTGGACGTAGTAGACTATGGTTCTACAAAGACATTCTTCATGTCTTGCAACAAGACTCGGTAAGATCACCAACATGCATTTTCATTTTCTCCAAAAAAAAAATTATAATGATTCATAACATGTAAATTTTGAAATTTATTGTGCGTGCTTTTCATTTTGGCAGGGGACTCACCAAATTGAAGCCATATTTCTGGACTTACCTGAAAGTATAGAAGTACAATGGAGTGGAGAGGCATTCATGAAAATGAAAAATCTAAAAATGCTTGTGATAAGAAAAACATGCTTCTCTGAATGTCCCAAATATCTGCCAAAAAGTTTGAGGTGGTTGGAATGGAAAGGGTGTTCTTTCAAATTTTTACCATCTTTGTGGCCAACTGAACTTGTTTATCTTGACTTGTCCTTTAGTTATTGTGAATTGCTCCAACCATTTGACAAGGTAAGTATACAAGTACCCTAATACTTTTACTTTTGTTTTTGTTTTGGCCTAATTATAAAAAGTAAATTGATATTTGTGTTGCAGGCGTTTCACAATATAAGTTGTATGAATTTAAGAAATTGCAAATTTCTGCAGCAAATACCTGACTTTTCTGGAGCTTCTAATTTAAGAGAATTGTGGCTTGATGGGTGCACAAATTTAATTAGAATTCATGATTCAGTTGGATGTTTAAATGAATTGACAGAATTGAGTGCCATGCGATGCAAAAATTTGAAGATTTTGCCATCTTGCCTTAAGTTGACCTCTCTTAAACATCTCAACCTCTTTGGTTGTTCAAGTCTCCAGACATTTCCAGAAGTATTAGTCATGATGGAAAAAATGCGAACACTTGACTTAGACAAGACAGCAATCACGGAATTGCCATCTTCAATTTGCAATCTTATTGGACTTGAAATCTTACACATGGAAGAATGTCCTAATCTTATGCAACTACCAGCTAGCATTTGTACATTACCAAACCTTTGGAAACTGACAGCAAATTCTTGTGAAGGAATGAGTCATTTTAAGATGTGTGAAGCTGGAGGTGAAGCAAGTGTAGGTTGCTCAGCAATGGCGTTGAAAATGGAACAACTTTTTTTCTCACATTGCAATTTATCTGATGATTCTCTTGCTTTCTGTCTTGCTAACTTCACTAACATGATACATTTAGATATGAGTTTTAACAATTTCACAATTCTTCCAAGATGCATCAGAGAGTATCACAATTTGAAATATCTTTTGTTGGATAATTGCTACAAACTTAAGCATATTGGAGGGATGCCACCAAACTTGGAAAAATTTAGTGCCATACGTTGCACATCATTGACTAAGTTATCCAAAAACAAAGTAATGGAGCAGGTATCTCCAACCGCCCAAGCCCTCTCTCTATGATTATATTCTTTTCTTATTACTTATGTGTTTGTGCTTTTTTTTTCTTTTGGCAATATGCAATTGGCAGGCAATAAACTTTCAATCTGGGAAAAGAAACTTTATTTTACCTGGGGAAAAATTTCCAGAAGGGCTCCATAATTATAGTGGGGAAAAGTTTGTGTCATTCTGGGTTCGTAATATGTTCCCCACGACTTTAATCTGGATTCTTGTTAAAGATGACCGGGATTATGCCTACAGTTGTCAATTCTCCGTGGACATTGATGAGTACACCAAGCTGGGTATTTCTTCTATGTGGAGTTCATTGTCACCAATAAAGACTAATCATATTTATATATGTGATATGCAAAGCATGATTCACAGCACTGAACTCCCCATTACAAATGAGTGGAGTCAAGTGAAGGTTTCTATTCAGAGCACAACACAGGAAACAGAAGGTGAAAAAGAAATTTACTTTGGAGTTCATGTACACGATCTACAAAGCAACTTGGAAAATATTCAATTCCTGCAACCCGTGGATAACTCAACAAAAGGTATTTTCCCTTTCCCCCGTCTCTTCATTTCACCATTGATATTCTTATTTCAACCGCTTGTAACGTCAATTCATCATCGACTTATACTTTTTTTTATTAATTTTTTTGACTTTTGGAAGAACTCAAAGAATATGGCTATAACCAAGAGACAAAGGAAAACATAACCGTTGTTCCTCTCTCCCAATTTTTCCTCCTCAATCTCCTTATATCCTCATACCTTTTCCCACACACTCTCTTTTCCTTGATCTGGCGGTGCGCCGAGTTTGCTGGAGGATATATATTTAAGGAGAGATTAGTAAGAAATCTCATAATAAGAACTTAACTAGTAATTGATTTCATTTAAAAAGAATGGTACTAAAGTCCCACATAATTGAAATAATTGCAGAGAAGTCCTAATATAATCTGAAATTACTCTGCATGACCAAGGAATTAAATGAAAAAGAATGGAGGGAGTAAAATTTAATTTTTAATTATTTATCTTGTGTGAGGCTTTATGCACGCGTCAACCTATGATGTGTGTCTATCACTGAGTGACATTTTGTAGACACTGAAAATTAAATTCCTATTTTTTTGCCAACGATTTAAATTCCGATTTTAGGACTTGTCTTTCCGACTCGAAGCATATACAATATTACTAGAACCCGCTGGGGGGTGGCTCCCTCATGACTTAGTTGACCATCACTCTCTTCGCATAGCAAAATTGCCTATTTTAATATTATTTGTAATATTTAACAAATAGAGTATATTTGTTTACCATAACATATATCCTGCTTTTAATATACATCCTAACACATACATACACACAAACACTCTTCATATACACAATATTTTTTCAAAAATATTCATGGAATAATTTATTTCTCATATATACACATATCTTTTTGTTAGGAAATCATATTACACTAGATTTTTCTGAAAAACGCTCTACTTGCTTTTCTGGTATCTCGGCATCTCAAAGAAAATACTGCTCCTGTCGGTTTTATAAGAGAGTTTTTTGAAGCATCAATTTATTCCTATTTATAGCATATTCCAATAACCTATCTAAAACATTTATCACTATCTTTGATTCTCAATATAAGACTATGAGAGCCAGTTAATTGATTTGGATAATAGATTAAGGAAGTCAAATTAGTTGATTATAACAAATGTGACATAATCTCATTAAAATAACATTAGATTATTTATCAATTTATAAGTTAGATAAATTAGTTTGAAAAAAAATAACAAATATAAAAATTAAGATCTTATATTTATAATCAAATCTAACTCTCAAATTAACTTTTATATTAAGTGTTAAAGGAAGTGTTAACTTATTATTGTGCCAATATTAATTAGTCAAGCTCCATTAGTTATCCAAGCCGCCCTTGTTTATAACACAATCTCGTAGGAGCATAAAATTTTTAAAATTGCTCATTCGCTACAAGGTTTTACCATTTTGCAGTTTATAATTATTATAAATTTATTGCTACTATTAACGTTGCTACAAATGTGACCATCATCAATCACAACTTAAGTTTCATTCTATACTTTTAACATTTTCAAGGTGAAAAAAAATTCTATATTTTTAACATTTTCGTAATGTTTATGTAATCCTTACTTTAGTGTTTCTCAATATTTATTTCTATTTTCATGGACAGAGATGTGTACTATGGGCGAGTTTGGATCATATGTGCGTTTAACATTTTTGCAAGATGAGGGGTGCAATATATCCAATTTGGTCAGGATATTGTCCCTACGAGGTCTGAACTTGGCCGACTACCTTCTCTGAGGTCCTTAAGAATTGAAAGATTACACAGTGTGGTGACTGTGGGTTCTGAGTTTTCCAAGGCTGAAGGTGATTCTGCTGTCATTATAGTACCGTTTCCTTCCCTTAAAATTCTTCATTTTGAAGGTATGATCTCCTTCCGGTCAAAAAAAAAGAAGGTATGATCTCCTGGCAACAATGGCAGTCTATTGATAAGAAAGCTTTTCCTAAACTCCGCTTTATTCGCTTTGTTGATTGCCCCAAATTAATTGGAAATTTACCTCTACAACTTCTTTCTTTAGAGGGTCTGGAGATTATGTCATGTCCACTGCTTGCTTCTTCTATCCCAGAGTGTTCAAACATTCACCAGTTCGCTATAATTAAAAGCCCAAATGCAGTGTTGCAAGAGCAAGAATTACCACCATCCCTACGCCGCCTGGCAGTTTCAGGTGGGCACATGTTGGAGCCTCTGTCTGAAAAGTTGCATATTGAAGATTTAACAGTGGATTGTTCTGATGCTGTGCCACCTGCAGTGATTCATATTCCCGCTTCAGTGAAACAGTTAGAGATGAGAAACTGTGAAAATCTCAAGGCTTTTTTTGGTTTCAAAGGCACGTCTTCTTCATCTCCGAAAGATTTCCATTTACAAATGCAAGTTTCTGCCGTCCTTGTTTGATGACATGGAACGTCTTGTCCCAAATGCAGAAGAGTTAAGCATAGCAGGATGTCCAGAAATGGAGCCATTTTCAGTAAGGTCCTTATCATCCAGTTTAAAACGGCTTGAGATAAGAGAGTGTGACAAGTTATTGTCATGTCATACACAATGGCATCGCCTTCCAACTATCACTGAGCTTCTCATCTCTAGTCTATCTGACACACTGCATTGCACAGGCCTTCAACATCTAAACTCTCTTCAACTACTGGAAATTGTGGATTCTTTCAGCCTTGAGAAACTAGAAGGAGGAATGCTGCGTCCTTCTCTACATCAGCTTCTCATCTCCAGCCTTGAAAAACGATGTCGCAACAAGGATGAGCAAATTTGGCCCAAAATCTTCCACGTTCCATACATCAATTTAAATGCAGAGGATTTAAGGTGCACTGATATGATCTCTTGCTCCAATTACTGGTTTAATATTCAGTGTTACATTTTGCATATTACATGCAAGCAGACAAAGGAGTGTTTCCATGTAAAATGTTCCTCATTATTTAATTATATGATACTTCTATTACTCGTCTTTTGCGGAGGAGTGAAATTAACTTCGAAGACACTTTTTCTTATTCTTAGTATTTTTCCTCACTCTGAACCTCTTGAAGCATGCTTTTTTTCCCCTGAAATTTTTCTCGCAATTTAATTCTTCAATGACTTCAAATCGTTTCATTTCATTGTTCTTATATATACTGCCTTCCAAGCCAACAAGTTACTGCAATTTATTCAAGGAGAAATTACAATTAAGTCCCACAGAAGAGAAATAATTACCAAAAAGTCTTAATAACAACCTCAGCAGCCCATAATAACAAGTCTTATAGTAATAATGACAACCTCTGGGACTTGTTTTTCTTGTTTGGGACCTCATTGTAATTATCCCTTTATTCAAGTACTTCTTGAAAAAGAGTATATATTCGCAGATATGTCGTCATTCAAAATTCTGTACAAGTTAGTGCACAAATTATCATGTGATTACATTTAAAATGAATGTTTTTGCTTTTAATTATTATTTTTCTTTGTATTTAAAACAGTTTACCTTGGGTGGAACTATTATTAGTTGGGGTGTGTGTGTGTGTGTAAAACAAGGGTGTTCTTCTGGGTGCAGGGATATGCATGAAGATTTAGATTCAGTGAACTCCGCGGAGGATGAAGGTAGTTATTGATCCTTTTTGTTTTGTCGTGTGCTGTCACTGACATTGTCTTCATATTATATCCTTGGTTTTATTTTAAAATGTTACTATCTCTAATCCATATTATAATAATCACCATAACAACTTTACATAAATAGTTAAAATTAATTATTTATCGTAAAATATTAGAATTACACTCAATAGTTAGAGGAGCTTCGATACTTGGGAAGTTTTAATAGTAAGTTAGGAATATTGGGCTGAAAAACTTGATGCTTCAAACAAAACATGTATTATGCTATACATATAATAAGAATAGGAAGCTTAAGGAGCATTTATCATGGTAAGAACTAAAAGAATATGCTTATAATGAAGAGAGAAAGGAAAACATAATGAAGTTATGTGAATTTTTAATATGAGAAAAAAAAAGTAAAATTACTTTGTATTTATTTCTCTTTATCCTTTCCTTGGCCTTCTTCCTCTACCAATTTTTTCCTCTCAATCTGCCAATTCTCTCATTTCGTTTTAGCCTTCCCCTCTCTGTTGCTCACCACCAACGATGAGCACGTAATTTGGACTGTCCAGTGTGTTGGGGATATTTTTAAAATGAAAAGCTGTATTTTTTAGAAAGTCAGGTACTTATGTAAATTTATTAAATTAATAAATTTAGATGGAGGGTTGTGTCCTATAAATTAATATATTTATATGAGGGATTATATCTTCATATAAATTAATATATATTTATATGAAGGGTTGTGTAGGTAATTACAACACTAAAAGATACCAAAGTTAACTTCTAAAGACATATAGAAAGGTATGATAACCACCACTTGGTGGAAGGTTATGTCATTTTCTCAAGGCAATCTTACATATTAAAAAGTATGACTCTTCATGGAAAGGATATTAAATATCTTTCAGTTATTTATTGGGAAAACCATATTAGAGGTACCTATACTTTTTTTCAATTTTCAATTTGGTATCTATGTGTTTTTTGTTCTTAACTAAATCTTTATTTTTCCTCTATTAACATCATTAATCCTTATGTAGAGACTAAAAATATCAATAGAACAAAGTTATAAGAGCTAATGTTGCTAAAAAGATAAAATTAAATGTTTAATTAAACAGAAAAAAACACATAGGTACCAAATTAAAAATTGAGAGAAAGTATAGGTACCTTTAATATGGTTTTCCCTTATTTAAATTATGGTGGTTTATGAGTCAACATATAGTTATGACTTTTAGTTGAAGAGATATTGTTCTAAGAGGAATCTTTTCAAGGAATCACTTCATAATCTATAAACCCCTCACCATCAATCTATTTAGACAAGAAGAAAGGACATACAACACAAACACAAAACAAGATTAAACTTGTTTCCTTTATCCTTGAATACAAGCAAAGGTATAGTCAAATTTTCACTTTGTAAAAGTTATTATTTCTTTGGCTTGAATTTTGATAATGCAATTGATAGTCAAGGATATTCATTGTATCATGTGGGAAATTGCTAGTCAACCTAACTTGTATCCTGTAATATTAATAGGTAGGGACGAATTAAGCCTAAAAAAAATTGACCATGCCTTAAAGATATCATGCATCACTTTTTTCCTTATCTCTTCTCATACTCTTTGGAGAATCATCTCCGCACACAGTGAATATCGAATTGGATTCTCTAAGAAATCAATGACTTGTCTGGATGTGTAACCTGGCCTGTGTTCGTAGTTCGTTAAACATGATTTCTTAGAAAGCCTTGCATGTAATTAGCTTTTGTAAACCTAATGAATTATCCTGTTTTAATTAAAAGTTTATGTTATAACACAGCGTCAAAGCATAAAATGTACTTAAAATTGCTCATTTGCTACAAGCTTTGGCCAATCTATAGTTTATTATTATTAGGGTAAAACACATCGACCTCCTCTCTATTTAACCTAAGTTACAGGACCTCCTTTTTATTTTGAAAACCTATACAGACCTCCCTTAAAACTGAAATATATATTGCACAAAACTTCTTTCTAGTATTGAGATTCAACTTCCATCCACCTAACCATTAGTTGACTATTAAATCATAGGATCGACCAGTTATTTTGACCAAAACACCCCTCCTTAATGCAAAAATTACCTAATAATTATCATTTAATCACATGTGATATATCTTTATTTGAAATTAAAAAAATAATTTTAATGCACATTTTAAATTTTTGTCACACTATTAAATCCATCGCCATATTATAAATTTAATTAATTTTATAAATACAAATTTTATTTTATAATAAATTTAAATATTTAATTTTATTTATTTATTAAAACTTACTTGTGATGTAATTTTCTAAATATATATATTATCTGAAAATATTTTGTAATTATATACATGTATTTTCAATTAAATTAAAAATTTATGTCTTAATTTAGTAAAAATATTAAATGGATCATTCGTAAATATTAATATTAAAAGATAAACTGAAAATTTAATATTCCTCCAGTTTTAACTATAAGACCCATTTTATAGTGTAAATTACACAATAAAATAGGTCTTATATTTAAGACTGGAGGGAGTATAATGAGAGGTAAAACAGTAACTAAGATTTATTTAATATTTTTTAATTAAAAAATATACTCAAAGAATCTTTTCAGAATATTCTTTAAGAGTAGTCACAGTATTTTATTTTTATTACACCATCGCAAGTTTTCTTTGTTTTTTTTTTTTTTTTAACCAGCACTACTGCTTAAGTTTTATTCTATATTTTTAACATTTTTGAAATGTTTATGTTATCCTTACTTTAGTGTTTCTCAATATTTATTTCTATTTTCATGGACAGAGATATGTATCGAGCACGAGTTTGAATCTTACGAGGATTTAGAAATTTTGGAAGATGGCGGCTATAGGGGCACAACATATGCAATTTGGTCATCAGGAGGTCGTTCCTACAACAACTTGATTGAGTTGCGGCTGACTGATTGCAACAAGTGTTGGAGAATTCCTGCAATTGGACAACTACCTTCTCTGAGGTCCTTAAGAATTGAAAGATTACAGAGTGTGGTGACAGTGGGTTCTGAGTTTTTCAAGGCTGCAAATGATTGTGCTTCACTTATAGTACCGTTTCCCTCCCTTGAAACTCTTCATTTTGAAGATGTGATCTCCTGGCAACAATGGCATTCTATTGATATGCAAGCTTTTCCTAAACTCCGCAGCCTTCGTTTTTTTAATTGCCCCAAATTAGTTGGAAATTTACCTCCCCAGCTTCTTTCGTTAGAGGGTCTGGGGATTGGGTCATGTCCACCGCTTGCTTCTTCTATCCCACAGTGTCCAAACATTCACAATTTAGCTATAATTAAAAGTCCAAATGTAGTGTTGCAAGAGCAAGAATTACCACCTTCCCTACACGAACTGGCAATTTCAAGCGCGCGCATGTTGGGGTCTCTGTCCGCAGAGTTGCATATTGAAGATTTAGCTGTGTGGATTTGTCTGACGCGGTGCCACCTCCTGTGATTCATATTCCCCCATCAGTGAAACGGCTACTTATGTGAAAATCTCAAGGCTTGTTTGGTTTCAAAGGCGCCTCTTGTTCACCTCCGAAAGATTTCCATTTGCAATTGCAAGTTTCTGACGTCCTTGTTTGATGACATGGAACGTCTTCTTCCAAATTTAGAAAAGCTTAAAATAGAAGGATGTCCAGGAATGGAGCCATTCTCACCAGGATTGTTACCATCCAGCTTAAAACAACTTAAGATAATAAAGTGTGACAAGTTATTATCATGTCATGCAAAATGGCATCACCTTCCAACTATCAATAAGCTTGTCATCTCTACTGGTTCTGACACATTGCATTGCACGGGGCTTCAACACCTAACCTCTCTTCAACAGCTAGAACTTCGGTATTCTAACAAGCTTGAGAAAATAGGAGGAGGAATGATGCCTCCTTCCTTACAAATGCTCCACATTAGGGGTGGCTCGCCTCTCGAAGAGCGATGCCTCGACAAGGATGGGGAAATTTGGCCCAAAATCTGTCACGTTCCATACATCAGTTTAAATGGCAGACGTTTAAGGTGAGTTGATCCTTTATTCCAATTACTAGTTTGATATAAGTATTATATTTTGCATATTATATGCAAGTAGAGAAGCTGGTAGATATGAATTGTTTCTCGGTATTTAATTATTCTTTTTATGTGTATACAGATTCATTGGAGTGAGATTTACTTCTAAGACTTTTCTTTTTTTTTCTTTTTTTTGCTCTCAACTTCTAGAAGCATGCCTTTCTTTTGATGGAAATTTTCTAACTATTTAATTCTTCAATGACTTCTGCAAATTCTTTCATTTAATTGTTCTTATAATCAGTCACTGCATTTTATTCAAGTACTTTTTGAAACTTTTTGAAGAAAATTAAAGGAGCATATTTATTATTCCAGATACAGCATTCAAAATTCTCCGTTCAAATTAGTGCACAAATTATCATGAGGTTACATTTCTAATGATTGAATTAATATTACTTTCGGTCCTAAATATAAGACCCTATTTATAGTAAACGAGGTCCTATATTTAATACCGAATGTAGTATAATTGTCAGCTCTCAAACTTATAGCCGTCTCATTTTCTGCAGGGACTTGTTGGTGGAGCATATTGTTGAAGACCAAGACGTAAATGATGTAACAATCCTTGAAGACCACCAAGACAACGATGCAACAATTCAGGTAATTGGGAATGAAAATCTCTCACTCTCTCCCTCTTAAAGAAATGAATATATATATATATATATATTTGTATATATGTGTGTGACTACTCTGTATAAATTGAATTGAGGTGATCATCACAAACATTCGTTGCTAAAAATGTTCCTCCCTGCTTTAGGTACAGCAGTCACCATCACCATCAAAGTCAAGGGCGATGATCAAATTTTTCACAGGATGCTTATCTTTTCTTTTCTTTTTTCTTTGTTCTATTATTAATGTTTTCTCCATTTTTCTTTATATTTGTAAGACTTTTACTGTTATGCTATTTTTTTCTTGGGTTTTGATGTCTTGGCATTAGGATCTTAGGTATTAGAAAGTCTTTTTTTCCCCCTATTATTTACATTTGTTTGTAGTAATATTTGATGTAACCGTGCATTCTATTTGTCCGCCTAGTCCGTCCTTTAAAAAAACAAAAAACAAAAAACAAAAGAAAGCTCTTAATGGTTTTTTTTTAATTCTTTTACCATGCATGATTGCTTGATGGCTTGCAATATTAGGAGAAGTTATTTTAAGTTTTCAATAATGTTTTTCTCATGTCACATAAATATGAGAAATAAATTGATGCCAAAAAAAATATTAAAATGAACTATCAATTTAATTGTTTTCGTTCAAATATCTTATTTTGGAAAAAAAATTATAATATTAACATAACAGATATTTAATCTGTCGACAAGATTAAAAGATATTAACATCGGTTTCCCTTGCCGTGGCATAAGTTTCTCACTGCCTCATGTGGACTGCAACATCGTAATCTCAGGTGCTAATAGATTCCTTTACCACGTTAATTGATTCGGAAGCCTTGATTTATTTGATTGATTTGTTTGCCCATTTAATGATCTTTTTCAGGTTCAAGCCCATTTTAGTTGGATTCATTACAGATCTGCCGAAGCCAGGAAACGAGATTCATAAGTGTTGTATATGCTTTGCTTGTTTTTGTTATTTCTTAATCATAATCAAAATGTGTTAGCAAGTGAGCTATTAAGGCCCATTGGTACAAAGTATTAAAAATAAGAGATAGAGACTGATATTGTAATTAAGAAAAATTATTTAAAAAAGTATTTGGTATGTTTAATTACATATTACATGAGATTAGGCAAACGTATTGAGGTGAGATTAGAGAAACCACATCCTACCATGGTATTCTCCAATCTCACATATATAAGTTTGTCTAATATCATATAACAAGAAATTAAAAAAGTATTTAGCATGAGTAATTACATGTTACATGGGATTATGCAAACCCAATATCATGGTATTCTCCAATCCCACATATATGAGTTTATCTAATCCTATATAACAAAAAATCTCCCATGCTAAATATTCTTTAAATAAGGTTTTTTAATCTCAATTTCAATCCCTATCTTTTATTTTCAATGTTTCGTATAAGATGAGAACTTAAGTTTTTGTAAATCTAATGTGTGTCAATTTTGACAGTCTAGTCCATTTAAAAGTAAAATCACTTCATTTCATTGCATTAATGAATTTCTTTTAGGCCATACTACGCACCTTTCATAAAGTGTGACATCTCGTTTTTCCTTCCCATTTAGGATAATTATAATATATAGCAATTAAATATGATAAACTTTGATAATGTTGACATACTTCAAAGTTCAAAGAACAAATACTTCATAGAAATAAATTTCGAATTACTTAAAAAGTATGTAGTGTGAAATTTCAATAAATAGATTGGAATCGCTCGATTCTCCTAATAAGGTTAGTCGTTGATGTTGAAGTAAACATTGCAGCGTTATGAAGGCCATTTTATATTGACCATTGACCAGTGATACACAATCTATCACCGACAGTGTTGAAGGGCCATCTTTTTCTTACTGTTTTTTTCTTGGCTGAATATCTTTTTCTTACTTTTACTTCTTTAATGGGTACAAGAAAATAAAGTAGTCATTTCACATTGGCTTAATGCTGCAGTTTACTTTTTAAGTGATTTTTTTTCTTACAAGTGACTTGTAATAAGGCATTAAGGCTCGAAATGTTATTTACAAGTAGACTGGGGATGGGTTTCTTAGTTTTCATGTGAAAATGCTCGTTTAGGCTTCACCAATTATCTCTACCATTCTCTGCACAAAAAAAGAATTCATGATGAATTCATTAGGACTGGAGAAAATATCATACGCGCACTTTTCAAAGCTATACAAGAATCAAGAATAGCCAACAGAGGAGCTTTGATCTAACAATGTGGTCTGTGGAGGATGTCAACTGCTGCTCATTCTTCTCATGGAAGAGTAAGCTTTAAACTTTGACGAAGCAGTTGTAAGAACGCACTGTGATTCCATGAAGAACGTGATAATTCTTTTTAATTAAAATCAAGTCCGGTCAGCCTACCAATTCAGCATGCCATGTCAGTAGAATAAATGGTGTTAATGACACATCAGCAAACTTAACAGTGTTAACTTCACCTTCACATCCTTATGAAGCTACAATGACTAAAGTTATAAATGGAGTAAAATTTAAATAATTAAAACCTATAATTTGAAATTTTATGAACCGAAAATCAAAACTAAAATTAAAATGAGGACAAATTATAATGACCAAACATTACATTAACCTTTTTTTCATTTTATCACTTTCCATTCATCTTATTTCCCGTTCAAATACAGTCATCACATTGATGGGGATCCAATTAAGATCATAAAAAAGATGGCCACCCAGGATTAGTGCTATGAACCATTTAGACCTGATTTGAATAGTCTAGATTTATTTTTTTAAAATTTTGATTTTGACTAAAGTATACTTTTAGTCCTTTAACTTTATATAAGATTTTATTTTAATCCCTTAACTTTAAAAAGTAAATTTTTAGTCTTCTAATCTTAAAATTGTTAATAAAAAATGATGATATTGAGCTCTTAAATGCTGATAAAACATTACTAAATGTTAATATATTAAGTTTAATATTCAAAAAAACTATAATTGTTACAAAAAATCATTATTTAAGACTATAATTTTGGGGTTAAAGAACTAAAAGTATACGTTTTAAATTTAAGGGACTAAACTGAAATTACAGAAAGTTAAAGGACCAAATATACATTTTACCCTTTTGATTTTTAAAAATAATTATTTTAATGGATATAAAATTTAAAACAAAATTAATTATTACTTTTCAAAAAATAATTTTTATTTAAAATAATTAAT